CTTCAATAGTTGAATGAAGAGCAGGCTGGTCAGGCATAAGGTCAGTTGGAACAACTGATGGTGTAGTATTTGGGAAGAGGTCTTCTTCTTCAATTTGCATTCCTTCCTTGAAAGGAAAAATATGCTCTCTGAATGTTACATCTCTGCTGACAAATATTCTTCTGCTTTCTAGATCATACAACCTATACCCTTTTTATGTTTCTGAATAGCCAATGAGAATGGATTTTCTTGCCCTTGGTGCAAATTTATCTCCTCCAGGTAAATTGCTTGCAAAACAAAGACATCCAAATACTCTTAGATGGTCTATTTTTGCTGGTTTTCCATGCAACACTTCATATGGACACTTCCCCTGTAATACTCTTGTGGGCAATTTGTTTATCAGATAGGCAGTTGTTCTTACACAATCCCCCCAAAACCTTATTGGCACTGAGCTTTGGAACTTCAGTGCTCTTGCCATTTCTAATATATGTCTATGCTTTCTTTCAACTGTATCATTCTGTTGAGGGGTATATGGGCAACTACTCTGATGGATTATTCCCAAGGAAGCCAACAGTTCATTACATTGAGAATTAAAAAAATTCAGTACCATTATCTAACCTTAACACCTTGACAATCATACCAAATTGATTTTGAATCATTGCAACAAAGTTCTTTATTACAACTAGTACTTCAATTTTTGACTGAATCAAACACACCCAAGTATACCTACTATAGTCATCAACAATGGTAACAAAGTAATGCTTTCTATCATATGTAGGTACTCTGTGAGGTCCCCAAACATCTAAGTGAAAAAGTTGAAAAATTCCAGCAGAACTAGTACTACTGACATGAAATTTTAGCCTACATTATTTAGCTAGTGGTCATATTTGACAGTCCTCTTGTACCTGCACATCAACTTTATTCTGTAACTTTGGAATATGTTGCATTGCCTTAATTAAAGCATGTCCTAACCTTAAATGCCAAAGTTCAGTTTTTTCTCCCTTTCTCAGGAAAACTCCTGCAGCTGCCACTGTTATGTTCTCCTTAAGCAAGTACAAACCATTGTTCTCTCTACCAATCTCTATCACCCTGCCACTGTAGAGATCCTGTAATATACAGTTGTGGCTGAGCAATAGAGATCCTTTGTGAGTTTAGCTACTGACAACATGTTAAATTTAAAATCTGGCACATATAAGACATTTTTTACTGTCTTATTGCCTAATATGGAGGCCTCTCCTGTGTGAGTTATTTGAGATTTGCTTCCAGTAGGAAGTTGTACTCCATGTTTCCCTTGGTCATCTGCCATTCTAACATTGTTTAGAATATTCTTACAGTGTGTGACATCAGTGTTGCCCCTGTATCTATTACCCAATCACACATACCTGCATCAGATAACAGAGAGACTATACCTGCAAAATTATTAGAACTTTCTGCAGTTGTTGGTTTGGACAGCAACCTCACCCGCTGTTGATACTGTTCTTCTGTGAAAAACTATCTTGTTCCTTCTATCTGCACATTCATTGGTTTCCCTTCCTCACTATTTGCATTCATATTCACATTGTTAGCATATACCTTTCCTCTTGTAGGCTGATTCTTCCTCTTGCTCTTAAAGTCAGCTGAATATCCAATTATTTTGATGTAATTTTCCTTAAGATGTCCTTTATATCCACAATGTTCACAAATGACTCCAGGCTTTCTTGCTCTAAAGTCCTGGCCTTTCCCTGCTAACATGGTGAGTGGTTCTCTATGCGTATCAACAATACCCAAAGACCTCTGACTTTCCTCTTGAGTCACTATGGCATAGGCTTCATTAACAGTAACAACATGCCTCTTAGCTAACACATTGCTCCTTATGTTGCTATAACTTTCATTTAACCCCATAAGATTTTGCAGCAAATGTTGAGATCTTAGGTGTTCCACTGAGGGTCAAGATTCTTCACAATCACACGAAGACAGTGGTACTAACACATCTAATTCATCCCACAAGTCCTTTATTTTTTGAAAAATAGCTAGTGACAGAGTCAGTACCTTGCCTTAGGGTTGCGATAGCTGTCCAGAGGTGATAAATCCTCGTCAAATCTGATCGATCAAATCTCTCCTGGAAATCATTTCACACTTTTCTTGCATTGGAGGTATAGACAAGGCTCGGCATCAATTCACTTGATACAGTGCTCCCAATCCATGACAACACGATCACATTATATTTTTCTCATTGTTCAGCCAATTCTCCTTTGTACATACTTTTCACACAAGTTCCGTCCACAAACCCTAGCTTACTTTTTCCCCCAGAGCGCTAATTTCATCGCTCTACTCCACAGAGCATAGTTATCTGGCCCTGTGAGTTTGAGCAGTATTAGGACAGGTCCTGGAGCATCTGAGGGTTATAAAAACAATGGATGATTGTGATCTAGAGATGCAACTTCGTTTCCCGCCATGGCTGTCTGAAATTCAACTTCGTCGGAGCTCCGATCTTCTGTATTTTGCCTGAATCTCGATGAAATCAGGATAGCCGCTCTGATACCATTGAATCTACACAATAATGCAACATGCAAGTGAATTTGAGTGAGAAATCTATAGTGGAGATAGAGAGAAAAGAGATGAAAAAGAAGTTCTGTATTTTCTCTTAAGAAGAAGAAGGTGAAATACACGTGAGGGTAGGCCTTTTATAACAGCCCACCTCTAACTGCCTTAACAGCTTTTCCTTTAAGGACAAAACTTTCTAATCTTTACACATAGGTCCCTCAGCTTAGTCTATGTACAATTAGTATGTATCTCAATACCCCTCCAAAAAGAAAAGAAAAGAAGCAAACCCCACAATTATTCTTTTCATGACCAAAAAAAGTTTTTAATGTTTCTCTTCCATTATAGAGAAAAGAAAATATTTTGTAACAACGGAAACCTAGGACTTTTACTGTGTATAACTTTGCGCATCATACATGCCAATGGGAGTAAAATCTACGACAAGAAAAGTAAAGACAAATAGGTAGGTAGTTTGGGCCTGTCAACCGCAATCCACAAGTATTTCAAACTTTTTTTTCCTATATCACTTCACGCAAAATATACAAAAATGATATAACCCAAATGGTTAATCTCTCGTTCTGTGAATTAGTTGAGAATTTTCTACTTTACGTTGCTTCTCAATTCCTAGGTACATTACGATTTGTGAGTCCATAATTCACTTACTTTAATTCATTCCTCTGTTGAACGAATATCTCTCTATAAGTACACATAATAAAGAAAAAGGAAGAAAGAAAGTGAAATAACAAGGCAAAAACAATATATATAGAAATTCATGAACTGGACCACTATTTTTCTTTGGCCAGGTGAGGAGTGCAATTGAAGTATGAATGCAGGTTGAATGAATTAATTTTTGCTTTTGGGTTTTATTTAGGTTTTCTTACCACGTAAGATCTGAATCTTTTGTTGCAATCTTTCAATGGCAATGACCAGCGGCGGATTTAGAGGGACGGAAGTGGTTCTCCCGAACCCCTTCACCAAAAAATCACACTGTGTATATAAGGTAAAATTTATTTTGTATATCTATATATTATATTTTGAATCCCTTTGACACACTCAAAAACATATTTTAGATATCAAAGGGGTTTAAAACCTTGATAAGGTCATTAGTTCAATTCTCGCCTGCCACAATTCTTTTATTTTGAACTCTCTAATTTTTTCTCACCAAGAAAATTCAATTGAACCCCAAAAGTAGTTGTGCCCCAATTGAGTTCCTACTCTCTCCTTTATCCTTATTTAACTGCCAAATTTCTTCAAATGGGTGGCAATCAATATTACAACGCATTTTGGCTCTTTAATTGAGTTCAATTATTGAAAAGTCTTAACATGTCATTTGAATTTGGAAAAGCAAAGCTGGAATAACCCCACAAGCACAAGAAAGTCTCAAGAGCATCACCAACCCTCTCCCCTTCTTCTAATCTAGAACTTAAATTACATTTTTTTAAAAGGTAACCATAAATCATAATAATTTAGGTTCAATAAACAACACTAATTTATACAGCACATGAATCCATATTCTGTAATCTGTAGTTTCCCATGAGAGAGAGAGTCTTCTAGATAGTCTTGTATACTTGTACTGTGTCATTTTATGTTCGCAAACAAAAGAATTGGTAGCACTCCTATTTTAATCAAATTAATAAATACAAGATATATGTTTTTATAAAAAAAAAAATTATTATCCAAATCAATTAATACACATTATTATCCGATTCTAATAATTAAGCATAATAAATTAATACTGTATAATTTAGAGTAAAATACTTGTACAGATAAATATTTTCCAACATTGAAACCCAAGCTACCCCGAACC